ATAAGATTGTTTTGACTCCAGAAGACGACCCAGTTGCAATAGATTTTGACGGCAGCAGTAATTCTTCTAAGTTCATCACGGAATTGGAGAAGATCGTCAATCGGACTTCGCCTCTTCCCGAAGGTTATAAAGTTCGAAAGCTAGCCGTTTGATGCATTAAGATTCTCGATATTTGCCAGAGTCGCAAAGGCCTTTGCTTTTTTCGCAAAATATGACCAGATATGACTTGGGAAACTTGATTCGCCACGTATAAAGAGCTTCTTCGATTACAGGATACGCGGCAATTAGTTCGCGTTTTCTCTTCGCTGAAGTTAAACTTTCGTCTAGAGTCAGCCAATATGATGACTTCTTAAGAATGGTAGAGACTGTATTTTCTTTAGCTCTAAACAGTTTAGCAAGCTCCGCTTGAGTCAAATTAGGTTGGGCTTTCTTTTTAAAACACAAATCTCTTTTTTGAACGCCCGTTAGAGTAACCCGCTTTATTTCAGGTTTTTTACTAATCATACTTTTATTATTCATCTGTCTTTTGATTGTTGCGAACGAGTTAAAGAGAAATAAGAACTTATGATAAAAACATCGAAATCTTGACAGTTAATCGATTTTCACTGCTTGATTGTATGAATTATTAACACTTATTTGATCTCATACAACCCAAGACATCTTTCATCGATGGGGATTTAAAAAGTGGGCACACTTGTGGATTCCGCAATTTCCTGTGACATGCTCAACGATTTGTAGGCAAGGTTATGTGCCCCATCATCGATTGCGATTTGTGAGTATACATCCGATAATGGAATAGGCGCATCGCGATTGTCAATTTCACATGTAAAAAGAATCGTCCCTCAACTTCGAAAAGAAATTCCTTTCCAGTTTATTGAATGTAATTGGCCGTGGAATAATTCTCAGGTGAGACGAGTTGCGCTAGTCCCGATCTAGACAACACAGTAACATATTCCCAACAACTATCGTAAACAATGCTTATAAAAGCATGTTGACTCATATTCTTATCAACTCGTAATTGATTTTTACCATCTCTTCCTTGCCATTACAAATCTGTCTGGTTTAATACCATTCGCCCTCGCCCTCAATATTTTTTAATAATCAATAAGGATTGATTTAGTAAAAGGGCGGAACCATGCAACGGGAAATGGAAGCGGGTGAGAAATATCTACGACTTCCTTTAACTTGCAGAGTCACTTACGGTTATAACTAATACGGGTCAAAAATAATTCAGATTCTGCGGATGCAAAGACGCTTGGTGGCTTATCTCGAAAGTTTACGGACGTTCAGTGAAAATTTCACGGCTCCTGTCAGCCGCGCAGTCACCACACGACTGCGGCAGCAATCAATCTTAGGGACGCTGCGTATTTTTATTGCAGCAGAAGAAGTATAGTGATAATAAGTTTGAGACTTGGTCTGCATTTGTCTCAGATGCTCTGAGAATGTTGGACAATGTGAACGGTGTAAAAGTTTCTCGGTGCAACAACAATTATAAGTAGTCGCATGAAAGACCAGAAGTTTTGAATAAAGTTATAGCAAATAATAATATTGCAAAGCGTGATAATTGTATAGTAATATTAAAAAGTGTGTCAATGACAGACCAAAGTACATTTGCTTACAAAGTGCTTGCTTTGTTCGAACTGCGGAAAGTAAAAAAGCAAACACTATCTGTAGCATTTGTTATTTGGCGTAGAGTTCAATTTATCGCAGTATGTCCTATTTTGGTAACATTTTGATGACGATTCTTTCTAAATTAATAATGTGGTTTGTACGTATACTCCTTCTGCGCCAACCAAACGCATAAGACTGTCGTTGATGAGACTAGTCGAGAGTTTAACTAGCTAGCCGCGCACAAGTTGTACGTTTTTTTTTAATAGCACGACAAAGAAACAAAAAAAAAAGGTCAATCGCACAGAACATGTTTTCAAGTATTTGGAGTAAACGAGGAGGGGGGGTAGGAGGCGGAGACTCTTCAAGTGCAAGTGAATCGCACCAGCCGCTATTCTTTACTGTGCCTAGCATAGTTGGCGAAGAGGATCTGGAGGAGTCGATCTCGTTGCATAGTGGTAGAGTGGTGTACAGCGAATACGAAGACGATGGGGAAGAGGCTGAACCTGATGAGGAGTTTTGGAATGAGCTATCGGGTAGGGCTTCAAGCTCTAAACAGGTAAAACTATTGGGAAGACGTGGAGTCTATGATTGCTATGACAATATGCGATCGGGCAGATGATACGAAGCTCTAATGTTTTGCATCCTTATAGGCTCCTGCAGACATATATCTAGATATCCCGACGATGCATTCAGCCAGACGGTCTAGGGATTCGCTGTCTGAAGGATTGCTTCCTTCTAATGCTGTATGTGTTGAGTTTTTATGTATGCACGGCAATAATAGATCGATCGCGTTTAGACTATATTTCGCGTGCATTTGCAAACTAAATCTTTACACTATTGCCATCAACGTTGTTTTTATATTCTCACAACAATCGTACTGATTCGTCAGATACCTCCAGCTCTAACGTCGAACGTAGGATTGCGTAAATATAAAGATGTTCCATTCGCCGGACTTTATCTCTTTCTCCTGCTGATCATGTTTCTCACTGGAGTAATTCTATTTTTCACCACGACAGTACGTGTTTCACACCATTTAGTATTGTATTATTTTCTTTTCTATACACACATTTAATTTCTATCTTTCTCAAACGAATGTAGAGCTCACGTTTGGAAGGATATACTCATGGAGCTGTATTTCTTGCTATAAATGGCTGTGCAGGTATGAAATTGCAATCCAATAATTGCAACGTTTTGTCACGAATAGAGATTGTGTGTGCAAACATTAATTTCGATTCATTGACAATGCAGGATCGATTGCATTCTCTATTGTGTTTACATTTGTCGCTGCCATAGTGTGGATATACTTTGTGCGATCATGTGTTAAGGTATGAATCAAGAATTTACTCAATGTATCGTTATTCTTAACTTACATTTTTATTAAATTTGCTGTAGGTATTAGTCTGGAGCACTCTCACAGTAGTCCCGGTAGTTGCAGCAATAATGTTTATCTGGGTAATAAGAGCATCGTCCACCGGAAAGCTTCGAGATTCTGGCGATCCCGATCCACAGGATGACAGGTAACATTTTTGGAACCGACGTTAATCTCACTTTTGTTGCGCAGCGTTTGACAAAATTTTCATTTTCTCACTTCTCCCCTTAAGCCTTCGCATCCTCTCATTAGCTCCTCTTGGAATATGCGCGATATATGCGTCGTTGCTTTATTGGCAAAAAAGAAGGGTGGAAAAGGCGATTACTGTTATTGAGGTTTGGCTTGCTGATTTTCCTGAGACAATATTAGTTGAATTATAGAGAAGTGGAAAGTTAATGTTTATCGTGCTAACATTATTTCGTTAGTTGGCATCCGAGATTCTTCGTGACAATCCGGAGATGTTGAAAGTATCTTTGTTAATCCTCGGAGTCTATATTGCGTTTACTGTAATATGGCTCATATTCTTCAGTCGTTTGTTTTTGGTTGGTCACATGATATTTAATAACGGGGGTATGCTATATGACCAAGCAGTGTTGTCTATTCTGTGGTGATATTGTCTATTGTTAAGATAACTTTCCGTTTTATTTTGGTAGATGGCATATGGGTGATGGATACGTCAGCACATTTATTGATAGGATTCTTCCTTTTCATGTATTTATGGACATCGGCCGTGCTTGGAAATATTCAAAGGTACATAATACGTACCAGTCAGTTCTTTATTTTTAATGTCAATATAACACAATTGCAATTTATAGAGTTACGCTAGCGGGAACGGTATCACATTGGTACTTTCATAGGCAAGTCACTTGTATTCATTATGGTTTGTTGTTTGCACATTTTAGTGGTCATTCACCGATCTAATATTCAAATATTTATCTTTAGACGTGAACCAGAGAACTTCAAAGAACAAAGTCCAACTCAAATAGCATTGTCCCATGCAGTAACTACATCATTTGGCACAGTCTGTTTTGGTGGATTGATATTATCATTTGTACAAACGTTAGCTTATATTACCAGATTCTTTAAGAAGGTAGATTTAATACGTTTTGCTGTCGGTTGAGAATGAGAGTGATATGGATGAAATGATTGATTTCTGTTCTCAATTGTAGAAACTCAAGGGCAAACTAAATCCAATATTTTATTGCATATACATATTCATGCAATGTCTCGATGGCATAGTGGACAGCATAAATAACTATTCAATTATATATGTTGGAATATTTGGAATGAGTTTCTGTTCTGCCGCATTGGAAGCAACGAAAATATTTCGAAGAAATCTTATTACTGGATTGAAGACAGGTAAGCACATAATCAACCATCGGTTGAAGGTGGCGTTAAATCGACAGTAACCAAATGTTTATAAACTGTTAGGTCTTATCACAAAAATGATTTTATATATTGGATCGGTGATACTCGCTCTCACATGCGGATTCGCTACATTTATATTTGCAACGCATTCGCTTGAATCTCCGTATGGATATGTCGCTGGTATAATTGCATCGCTTATTCCATTCTACATATCTCAATTTATAACAAATATTATGATGAATACGTGAGTATTACAGATATCGGTATATGATCAAGCCTGTCGTTAGCATAACATTTTTTTTCTAATCCATGATATTCATTTGTAGTATCGATGCAACATTCTTCTGCTATGCAATCGATTTGGATGTTAATATGAATCACTGTAATATGGCTCACGAAGCGTTTAGCTGATTGTCAAGAATAGTTGGCTTGGGAAATTTGGACTTTTTTTTTCTCTATCATACAGAAAGTGGGTTGTATTACTACTACTACTATACTACTACTTACTATACTACTTGTAATATTAGAATAAAGAGACTTAACAAATGCAAAATATATAATTTGACATTCGCTGGGACGACAAAGGACGAATTCATTAGAGAATAAAAGTTAATTACGATTAAAAAAAACAAAAAAACAAGACAGCCGCCCGCTATTTCTCGTCCTCAGTATACCCAATTCCTACAACCAGCTGCCCTTGCAAATATTCAATCTCCTCATTCTTCTCCATCAACATCCCTTCCAACTCTTTAACTATCTGCCAATTCTCATCTGCTTCCTTCTTGTATTTCTCCCTCTCTTCAACGACGGCCGCATATTCCTCTCTGTTGACCATTATGTCCTCCATCAGGTTGGTTTGTTCCACGATACTATCTCTATGCGCTTGCCCATGTCTTTCATGCTTTGGTAATTCCAAGTACTCAATCCTTGCTTCCACAATATCTGCACTTGTCTCTACATCACTCGCATCCAATTCAAACGGATACGGTTCACATTCTTTGTCTTCCATTACCCGTAGCCTATTGTCAAAACTCTGAAGACGTGTTTCAAAACACCGAAAGGATCGTATTTTAGCAAGTAATCGAGACATTTCCTCCTGCGTACGTGTTTGCTCGTCTTGAAGAAAGTGCAGCTTCTGTTCAAGAACTTGATTGTAAGAATGAGCTTCTTGAAGTTCATTACGGAGTTGTTTTACTATAGGGGCCTTAGAATGAGCGCGGTCGAGAACCTTTATGGCGAGGATAGGGTCATTTTCCTTTAGTTTCTGGATGGTCATGAAAAAAGAATGGTCAAAAAAAGATGACACCATGTACAAGAAGTGATCATACAGAAATGGTAATATTAACAAACCTCCAACTTTCCCGCGTTCTCGTCGACATTCTTTATCGTCCCAAGGGGCCGTCGACTGTTATCGAACTTATCCTGTTTTCAGGTATTTCCACTTGTGAGTAAATTTACTTGCGACAAACTTCTCTAAACCAGTTTCTGAACATATTCCCAACCTGTGCAGGAATCTTCCGTGATCCAGGTGGTCTCGCTAGCACGTTCTCCATTCAAGGGTCTTCAGTATTAGTATGTTCTTTCAGGAGAAAAAAGAAGGTATATAAGGATTTGAGTTGGACGCGTTGTTGTTGGCTAAAAACGCGTACATGTTTAGCGTTTGTGCATAGTGTTTTTGCACACGTGAAGCATATGTGCAATACCGCGTAGTATACTAACTAATAAAATAGTCAATTTCATAAATTTGCGGAAAATTGAAGAGGAAAAATTTTTTTTTCCATAGATGTCAAACTAAATTCTCTAATATGATAATGCATGAACAACTACAGTTGTATAGTGTGCACGTTCATACTTAGTGTCTCATACTCAGTTTTAATACGCGAATCTATAATTATAGTTGTTTATGTATAGTCCTATAATAATAATTACATTTCTTTTTCACTAACACCTTCTTTCTTAAGATATTCTACCAATTTACTTTTCACTTCTTTCATAGGGATTGATCTCTTTATTTTCAAACACCAGTCAGGGAGACAGTGATCTTCAGCCTCAGCTGTGAAGTGCAAGATAATATTACAAGATATCAGACAAGCAATCATAATAGAAATAATAA